GTGTGTGTGTGTGTGTGTGTGTGTGTGTGTGTGTATATAGGTGCCGTAGTCAGTGGCGTCGCTAGGGGGGGGCCAGAGGGGGCCATGGCCCCCCTACATCATGCTGTGCCCCCCCTTGGGCCCCCCCCCAAATGCCAGCAACTTGCTGGCCATGGGCTTCCCTCGGACTGTAACAGCCTGTCACAGCCGGGGAGGGAATGCAGTGCTGAGGTGCTGGAGGCTGTCTGTGGCTGGAGGGAGCACTGATTGGCTCCCCGGCACAGGCTCCGCCCCCAAACGAAGCCCCGCCTCCCGCCGGTAAGCCCCGCCCCCGCCGTTATGCAGCAGCCCATGCTGCTGCTGAAGATGGCTGCCTGACCCCCAAAGGTGACAGGTAGGCTGGGGGGGGTGTACACACACACATTGCCCCCATACACACACACTGTCCCCCATACTGCCCCCCCATACACACACATTGCCCCCCATACACACACACTGTCCCCATACAGCCTCCCATACACACACACTGCCCCCATACAGCCTCCCATACACACACACTGTCCCCCATACACACACATTGCCCCTATACTGCTCTCTTCTCTATACACACACATTGTTCTCTATACTGCCTCTATACACACACACACTGTTCATACACACATTGCCCCTCATACTGCTCTCTATACACACACACATTACCCCCATACACACATTATTGTTCCCCTACATACTGTTTCCACATACTATCCTCTATACTGTTCCCCATAGACACACATTGCTTTCATACACACACATTCGTCCCTCATACTGCTCTCATAGACACACACACACTGTCCCCATACTGCCCCCATAGACATACCTGTCCCCTTATACTGTTTCATACACACACATTGCCCCCCTTATACTACCCCATACACACACACACATTAAGCCCCCATACACACACACTGCTCCCCATACACACACATTGCCCCACACACTGCCCCCCATACACACACATTGCCCCCCATACACACACATTGCCCCCCATACACACACACTGCCCCCCCATAAACACACATTGACCCCCATACTGCCCCCCATACACACACACTGCCCCCCATACAGCCTCCCATACACACACACTGTCCCCCATACTGCCCCCATACACACACACTGCCCCACACACTGCCCCCCATACACACACTCTGCCCCCCCCATACACATACACTCTACACACATACACTATCCCCATACACACACACTGTATGGACTCAGCAGTCTGTGTGTGTGTATGGACTCAGCAGCCCGTGTGTGTGTGTGTGTGTGTGTGTGGACTCAGCAGGTGTGTGTATGGACTCAGCAGTGTGTGTGTATGGACTCAGCAGTCTTCGTGTGTGTGTGTGTGTGTGTGTGTATGGACTCAGCAGTCTGTGTGTGTGTGTGTGTGTGTGTGTATGGACTCAGCAGTCTGTGTGTGTGGACTCAGCAGTCTGTGTGTATGTATGGACTCAGCAAAGTCTGTGTGTGTGTATGGACTCAGCAGAGTCTGTGTGTGTATGGACTCAGCAGAGTCTGTGTGTGTATGGACTCAGCAGTCTGTGTGTGTGTATGGACTCAGCAGTCTGTGTGTGTGTGTGTGTGTGTGGGGACATAGCAGTCTGTGTGTGTGTGTATGTGTGTGTGTATGGACTCAGCAATCTGTGTGTGTATGTGTCTGTGTGTGTGTATGGACTCAGCAGTCTGTGTGTGTGTGTATGGACTCAGCAATCTTTGTGTGTGTGTATGGACTCAGCAGTGTGTGTGTGTATGGACTCAGCAGTCTGTGTGTGTGTATGGACTCCGCAGTCTATCAATAATTAAAATTCCTGTGAGTTGTTGTGTAGGAAGGGCCCCAGTGTATTGCTTTGCCCAGGGGCCCTTAACTCTGTTAAAATGGTACTGCTTGTGTGTGTCAGTGAGCTTCTATTTAGTGAGCATGTGTGTGTGTCAGTGAGCTTGTCTTTAGTGAGCTTGTGTGTGTGTCCCTGAACTTCTTTGTAGTGAGCCTTCTGTTTATACAAGTGAGTGTCTGTAGTAAGCTTGTGTGTGAGTCAGGGAGTTTTGTCTGTCAGTAAGCCTATTTGCGCATGTCAGTGAGCTTGTGTGCTCACTGTACTATATATATATATATATATATATATATATATATATTTATTTTGACTTGTAGGAATGGCATACGTTTTTTTTTTTCCAGGGCTGCTTTGGATTCCCAGGGACTCCCAGTTTGGCTCTGCCAGCGAGTGAACTTTACCGCTGAATAATCTGTGTGAGCTGCCGCACACTTTAGCCCTGTTACACGCGCCTGGGAGCTGCTGTTGACAGGTACTAGTAGTCTAGAGATTGGGGTATATGCTCAGCTATCTGTATAATACAGATCTGTGGGTATAAAATATCCTGGGATAGTCAGTGCTTCCTGTATAGTGCTGCTCTCTGTCTTGGGATATTATACACAAACAGACCTGTATTATACAGAGAGCAGCACTATACAGGGAGCACTGAGTGTCCCAATTTATTATACACACAACCCTGTATTATACAGAGAGCACTGACTGTCCAGGGATATTATACCCAGACAGTAATTGATAGCTGTGCTGCAAAATGTCCTTGGAATTTTTTTTTCAAATGTTGGCAACTATGGCACTGTATCAAGGATAATGTGTTTGTTTTTTTAATAATCCCTGGTGGAAAATAATGAATCCTCCACCAGGTATTATTAAAAAAACAAAACACATTGTGTCGGGGGCGTGGCTTAACATGTGACAGGGGCGGGGTCAAACTGCGGCGAGGGCGGGGTTAAATGTGCCCCCCTACTTTTGTCACTGGCCCTCCATGTGCCCCCCCGAAAAATGAATCCTAGAGACGCCACTGACTTTAGTGCTAGTTACACCCGGGCTGCCTAATGTCAATACTGTGCATAAAATACGTCTGTCGACAGACAGCATTCCATGCTGGCAACTGGCGAATTGAGCTTCTATCTTGCAGACAGGGCCTGCAGTTGGACGTAACGGCAATTCAGCTATCGGTATTCATCTCAAAGTGAAACACTGTTTAAATCACAACGCGTTTCGCCCAGATAGCTTTGTCACTTAAAAAAGCCAAGTCTGCCAAATGTGTTGTGATTTTAACCATTTGTTAAGTATTTAATGCATTTATCGTTTAATATTTGTTTGGTAAAAAAATTTTTATTTAAAAAAACAACAATGTAATTTAAAATTTTCATTAAAGTGAATTTTACCATTCAACATATTTAATTTTATCTGGTCCTACTTTTTATTTAATTTTATCCTTCATTATTTTATAATTTTTGAAAAATACCTGCTGACAGTGCTGCATTTGATCAACTTACATATTCCAGGTGGGGATTGTACCACCCACGCTGATTCCAACAAGCATGTATATGCTCCTTTAAATGTGAGTACAATTTATTTTACTTACATATTTTATTTTCCAATACAGAGAGCACTATTCTCCGTATTTCTATCTTTTACTATACACCCTTGGAAAATACAGAGGAACACCCTTTACAAATTATATCCGTGAGCAGGGATTATTCAACTTTAAGATCTTACTAAGAGCTGAATTGGAAGCTCTTTGTTTGTGAGTGCATTTTATTCTCTTTTTATATACACACTGGGTTTGTTCTATTGAGATCCCCTTTTTATGTATTCCATGTGAGATGCGTATGCTGTGAAGATAATGTAAGACGTACCAGTGTCGCTACAAAGACCTTGTTCTGATTCTTCACCTAATACCCTGTGACAAGGATTATATTGTCAGAAGCAGATACAATCAAACCTACAGACGGTTCCTTGTTTGACTTTCTTATGGTTTTTCGAGGGCATTCTTTGTAATTATAGATTCCAGTTACTACTACTTGCATACAACTGTATTCCTTAGCAATACCAGTACTGTGTAGTTATTTGGCGCAACCTGTTTTCTAACAGTGCAGAATGATACAAAATATTTCCTTTTTTCTGCAAAAACTGTACACATTTGCACATGCAACAAATACACAATACTATTAATGCCAGATGATACGAGATGCATTTAAGTTGTTTTGATGCTCAGAATGTTCCTTGATGCTGAGGTTTAGAACTGTATGCTAAAGGGGGAAGAGAAGGGTTGTGCCTTTATAGCTGTGGTCAAGCTATACAATTCCTGGGAATACTGACTCTAGACATGAGCAGTAATAGGTGACACTCGTGAATGGAAAATGTAGGATGAGTCTTCTGTGAAGCTATGCAATATTTCTCGTATGCAAATAGCACCATGTCACTACAGCAACCAAGACAGAGAGAGATGGGAGGAAGGGGTGATAAAATGTGGGATATGAGAAGGAAACAAGGGGGTGGGTGAGAATAGGTAATCTTTGTGTGTCTGACTTTTTATGTGTGTGCATGTCTGTGTGTGCTTGTCTATTTCAGCATTTTGTATAAAACAGCAAGACCAAACTTGTATGTTTATCTTTGTATCTTGTTTATTTGTGAATGTATGACAAAACTGTTGCGTGAGTGGCTAAATATAGGTATGTGAATGATTGATATGTTATGTGTGAGTATACTGGGGGGTGCATTGGCTCAACTGGACCTAGTGCAGTGTCAAACATAAATAAATCACTGAGAAAACCTACTTGTGTACGCTGATATGGTCACAGGAGAACTCTGATACTGCAGAGAACCAACTGTTACTACAGTAATTGTGTAATTAGTCCCAGACGTGAGGTTCTGAAGGGTGACATTTAATGTGTTTACTGTCACAGTCCAAGAGGATGAAGAATTGCTGTAAATTATATTGAAAGACTTTGTCACATTGGTCATATTTACTGGCTCTTCCCAGGACAATGAAATGTAGTTTGTTCCGATATTTGTAACGTTTAAGGACACTGGAAGGGTTGGATCTATGGAAAACCAAGAACAAAATAATTAGTTAAAGAAATCCATATTTCATTATTCTGAAAATAATCCAATGATATCTAAATAAAAATTATGCAAAAAAGTTTACTAGAACTCAGTTTGTATGATTTCCACGTAAAGATATAGCTCTGTCCCAATGATCCCATCATACTCACATGTTGCCTCTATCACTGGAGCTGCTGACTGGCTGCAGTTACTACTAACTGTCTGTATAGTGATGGAGTAGTTTCTGCCTGGCAGTAAGTCTGTGAAATCCACTTGTGTAGAATTAGTTGTGATTGTTCTATTGACGTCTCCATTCAGAGTGACTGTGAAATAATCCACTTTCCCTGCTGGTATTGTCCAGTTCACACTAAGTGAATTAGTAGTATTCTTATTATTTACTGTGATATTCTGAGCAAGACCCGGAACTGAAACAAATCAGAATAGAAATCACACAAATCGAAAGGAAAAATAGGATAGAAAAGAAAGAGAGAGAAAATCCTCAAACCATATTTTCAATACACTTTAAGTCTCTTTACCTGCTATAATGACCATATCCACAATTCTCCCCCTAAAGAGATCAGTCTGTACTCACCTGTGCAGGTTGTATATGAGACAGATTGACTTTCAGTGACATTATCAGCCGCTCTTGTAAATCCAGTGAATGTATATGTCTCCCCAGGTGTCAGATTAGTTATATTAACAGTTTGATTTGTCACAATAATTTCATTTATCACGACAGATGATGAATTTGCTGTTAGTATTCTGTATTTATATTCAGCCTTGTACTCGTCAGGTTGATCCCAAATCAGGGAAACAGAATATGATGTTTTGCCATTGTCTCTGAGGAGTTTCACTTCGTTTGGTTCTAGAGCGAGAAAATAAAACATGATTTTCCTTTAAGTTATAGCTAAGTTCATGACAATTACAATTATTTATATAGCGCCAACATATTCTGCAGCACTGTACAATAGATTAAAGAAAACCAACAATAAAAGCCCAGCCACCCTTAGTATTTTAGTGATTTGAAGTGGTCATGGTTGTAGGAGTGTGTATGTGCAGCATTTCTGCAGTACTGTACATACTGAGATCAGTGGCGTCACTAGTGGGGGGGGTCAGAGGGGGCCATGGCCCCCCCTACATCATGCTGTGCCCCCCCTTGGGCCCCCCCACACACATTGCCCCCTATACTGCCCCCCCATACACACACATTGCCGCCAATACTGCCCCCCTACACAAACTCTGCCCCCCATACAGCCTCCCATACACACACACTGCCCCCCATACAGCCTCCCATACACACACCCTGCCCCCCATACACACACATTGCCCCCCATACACACACACTGCCCCCCATACAGCTCCTATACACACACACTGCCCCATACAGCCTCCCATACACACACACTGCCCCACATACAGCCTCCCATACACACACACACTGTCCCCACATACAGCCTCCCATGTCACACTGTCCCCCATACTGCCCCCACACACACACACACACACACACTGCCCTATACACACACACACACACACTGCCCCCACACACACACACACACTGCCCCCCATACACACACACACACACTGCCCCCCACACACACACACACACTGCCTCTATAGACACACACTGTCCCCTATACTGCCCCATACACACACATTGCCCTGCTATACTGTCTCTATAGACACACATTGCCCTCTATACTTCCATAGACACACACTGCCTCTATATATACACCTATATACACACACACACTGCCTCCTATACACACATTGCCTCTATACACATTACACATTTACACTCTGCCTCTATATTAATACACACACTGCCTCTATAGCTCTCATACACACACACATTGCTCATACACACACACACACTTACACACATACACATTGCCTCCCTATACTGCTCTCTTATAGACAATATTGCCTCTATACTGCTCTCTATACACACACATTGCCTCTATTACATTAATATTGCTCCTACACACTGCTCTATACACACACACCTTCTTAGCTCTACATATTAATTTACACATACACTGTTCTACACACACACTGCATGGACCTGCAGTCTGGGGTGTGTATGGACTCAGCAGTCTGTGTGTGTGTGTGTATGGACTCAGCAGTGTGTGTGTGTGTATGGACTCAGCAGTGTGTGTGTATATGGACTCAGCAGTCTGTGTGTGTGTGTGGACTCAGCAGTCTGTGTGTGTGTGTATGGACTCAGCAGTCTGTGTGTGTGTGTATGGACTCAGCAGTTTGTGTGTGTGTATGGACTCAGCAGTCTGTGTGTGTATGTATATGGACTCGGCAGTCTGTGTGTGTGTGTGTATGGACTCAGCAATCTGTGTGTGTGTGTGTGTGTATGGACTCAGCAATCTGTGTGTGTGTGTGTGTGTGTGTGTGTGTATGGACTCAGCAATCTGTGTGTGTGTGTGTGTGTGTGTGTGTATGGACTCAGCAATCTTTGTGTGTGTGTATGGACTCAGCAGTGTGTGTGTGTATGGACTCAGCACTCTGTGTGTGTGTATGGACTCCGCAGTCTATCAATAATTAAAATTCCTGTGAGTTGTTGTGTAGGAAGGGCCCCAGTGTATTGCTTTGCCCAGGGGCCCTTAACTCTGTTAAAATGGTACTGCTTGTGTGTGTCAGTGAGCTTCTATTTAGTGAGCATGTGTGTGTCAGTGAGCTTGTCTTTAGTGAGCTTGTGTGTGTGTCCCTGAACTTCTTTGTAGTGAGCCTTCTGTTTATACAAGTGAGTGTCTGTAGTAAGCTTGTGTGTGAGTCAGGGAGTTTTGTCTGTCAGTAAGCCTATTTGCGCATGTCAGTGAGCTTGTGTGCTCACTGTACTATATATATATATATATATATATATATATATATATTTATTTTGACTTGTAGGAATGGCATACGTTTTTTTTTTTCCAGGGCTGCTTTGGATTCCCAGGGACTCCCAGTTTGGCTCTGCCAGCGAGTGAACTTTACCGCTGAATAATCTGTGTGAGCTGCCGCACACTTTAGCCCTGTTACACGCGCCTGGGAGCTGCTGTTGACAGGTACTAGTAGTCTAGAGATTGGGGTATATGCTCAGCTATCTGTATAATACAGATCTGTGGGTATAAAATATCCTGGGATAGTCAGTGCTTCCTGTATAGTGCTGCTCTCTGTCTTGGGATATTATACACAAACAGACCTGTATTATACAGAGAGCAGCACTATACAGGGAGCACTGAGTGTCCCAATTTATTATACACACAACCCTGTATTATACAGAGAGCACTGACTGTCCAGGGATATTATACCCAGACAGTAATTGATAGCTGTGCTGCAAAATGTCCTTGGAAATTTTTTTTCAAATGTTGGCAACTATGGCACTGTATCAAGGATAATGTGTTTGTTTTTTTAATAATCCCTGGTGGAAAATAATGAATCCTCCACCAGGTATTATTAAAAAAACAAAACACATTGTGTCGGGGGCGTGGCTTAACATGTGACAGGGGCGGGGTCAAACTGCGGCGAGGGCGGGGTTAAATGTGCCCCCCTACTTTTGTCACTGGCCCTCCATGTGCCCCCCCGAAAAATGAATCCTAGAGACGCCACTGACTTTAGTGCTAGTTACACCCGGGCTGCCTAATGTCAATACTGTGCATAAAATACGTCTGTCGACAGACAGCATTCCATGCTGGCAACTGGCGAATTGAGCTTCTATCTTGCAGACAGGGCCTGCAGTTGGACGTAACGGCAATTCAGCTATCGGTATTCATCTCAAAGTGAAACACTGTTTAAATCACAACGCGTTTCGCCCAGATAGCTTTGTCACTTAAAAAAGCCAAGTCTGCCAAATGTGTTGTGATTTTAACCATTTGTTAAGTATTTAATGCATTTATCGTTTAATATTTGTTTGGTAAAAAAATTTTTATTTAAAAAAACAACAATGTAATTTAAAATTTTCATTAAAGTGAATTTTACCATTCAACATATTTAATTTTATCTGGTCCTACTTTTTATTTAATTTTATCCTTCATTATTTTATAATTTTTGAAAAATACCTGCTGACAGTGCTGCATTTGATCAACTTACATATTCCAGGTGGGGATTGTACCACCCACGCTGATTCCAACAAGCATGTATATGCTCCTTTAAATGTGAGTACAATTTATTTTACTTACATATTTTATTTTCCAATACAGAGAGCACTATTCTCCGTATTTCTATCTTTTACTATACACCCTTGGAAAATACAGAGGAACACCCTTTACAAATTATATCCGTGAGCAGGGATTATTCAACTTTAAGATCTTACTAAGAGCTGAATTGGAAGCTCTTTGTTTGTGAGTGCATTTTATTCTCTTTTTATATACACACTGGGTTTGTTCTATTGAGATCCCCTTTTTATGTATTCCATGTGAGATGCGTATGCTGTGAAGATAATGTAAGACGTACCAGTGTCGCTACAAAGACCTTGTTCTGATTCTTCACCTAATACCCTGTGACAAGGATTATATTGTCAGAAGCAGATACAATCAAACCTACAGACGGTTCCTTGTTTGACTTTCTTATGGTTTTTCGAGGGCATTCTTTGTAATTATAGATTCCAGTTACTACTACTTGCATACAACTGTATTCCTTAGCAATACCAGTACTGTGTAGTTATTTGGCGCAACCTGTTTTCTAACAGTGCAGAATGATACAAAATATTTCCTTTTTTCTGCAAAAACTGTACACATTTGCACATGCAACAAATACACAATACTATTAATGCCAGATGATACGAGATGCATTTAAGTTGTTTTGATGCTCTGAATGTTCCTTGATGCTGAGGTTTAGAACTGTATGCTAAAGGGGGAAGAGAAGGGTTGTGCCTTTATAGCTCTGGTCAAGCTATACAATTCCTGGGAATACTGACTCTAGACATGAGCAGTAATAGGTGACACTCGTGAATGGAAAATGTAGGATGAGTCTTCTGTGAAGCTATGCAATATTTCTCGTATGCAAATAGCACCATGTCACTACAGCAACCAAGACAGAGAGAGATGGGAGGAAGGGGTGATAAAATGTGGGATATGAGAAGGAAACAAGGGGGTGGGTGAGAATAGGTAATCTTTGTGTGTCTGAATTTTTGTGTGTGTGCATGTCTGTGTGTGCTTGTCTATTTCAGCATTTTGTATAAAACAGCAAGACCAAACTTGTATGTTTATCTTTGTATCTTGTTTATTTGTGAATGTATGACAAAACTGTTGCGTGAGTGGCTAAATATAGGTATGTGAATGATTGATATGTTATGTGTGAGTATACTGGGGGGTGCATTGGCTCAACTGGACCTAGTGCAGTGTCAAACATAAATAAATCACTGAGAAAACCTACTTGTGTACGCTGATATGGTCACAGGAGAACTCTGATACTGCAGAGAACCAACTGTTACTACAGTAATTGTGTAATTAGTCCCAGACGTGAGGTTCTGAAGGGTGACATTTAATGTGTTTACTGTCACAGTCCAAGAGGATGAAGAATTGCTGTAAATTATCTTGAAAGACTTTGTCACATTGGTCATATTTACTGGTTCTCCCCAGGACAATGAAATGTAGTTTGTTCCGATATTTGTAACGTTTAAGGACACTGGAGGAGTTGGATCTACGAAGGAAGAAGAAAAAAAAGTATACAAAGATTTTTATAACCAACATCTGAAAATAATCCAATAATATCAGAAAACAGATGATAGAATATCTTAATTTGTGTCACTACATTTTATTTAATGTGTATGATTTGCATATAAGCAAATAGCTCTGTCCCAATGATCCCATCATACTCACATGTTGCCTCTATCACTGGAGCTGCTGACTGGCTGCAGTTACTACTAACTGTCTGTATAGTGATGGAGTAGTTTCTGCCTGGCAGTAAATCTGTGAAATCCACTTGTGTAGAATTAGTTGTGATTATTTTATTGACGTCTCCACTCAGAGTGACTGTGTAATTATCCACTTTCCCTGCTGGTATTGTCCAGTTCACACTGAGTGAATTAGTAGTATTCTTATTATTTACTGTGATATTCTGAGCCAGACCCGGAACTGAAAAAAATCAGAATAGAAATCACACAAATCGAAAGGAAAAATAGGATAGAAAAGAAAGAGAGAGAAAATCCTCAAACCATATTTTCAATACACTTGAAGTCCCCTTTACCTGCTATAATGACCATATCCACAATTCTCCCCCTAGAGAGGTCAGTCTGTACTCACCTGTGCAGGTTGTATATGAGACAGATTGACTTTCAGTGACATTATCAGCCGCTCTTGTAAATACAGTGAATGTATATGTTACTCCGGGTGTCAGATTAGTTATATTAACAGTTTGATTTGTCACAATAATTTCATTTATCACGACAGATGATGAATTTGCTGTTAGTATTCTGTATTTATATTCAGCCTTGTACTCGTCAGGTGGATCCCAAATCAGGGAAACAGAATATGATGTTTTGCCATTGTCTCTGAGGAGTTTCACTGTGTTTGGTTCTAGAGCGAGAAAATAAAACATGATTTTCTTTCAAGTTATAGCTAAGTTCATGACAATTACAATTATTTATATAGCGCCAACATATTCTGCAGCACTGTACAATAGATTAAAAAGACCAACAATAAAAGCCCAGCCACCCTTAGTATTTTAGTGATTTGAAGTGGTCATGGTTGTAGGAGTGTGTATGTGCAGCATTTCTGCAGCACTGCACATACTGAGATCTCCGTACTTTAGTGCTAGTTAAACCCGGGCTGCCTAATGTCAATATTGTGCATAAAATACGTCTGTCGACAGACAGCATTGCATGCTGGCAACTGGCGAATTGAGCTTCTATCTTGCAGACAGGGCCTGCAGTTGGGCGTAACGGCAATTCAGCTATCGGTATTCATCTCAAAGTGAAACACTGTTTAATACTCTAAACCTGCACAGATCTTTGGGGAATTCAAAGTAACTTTCAAATCTTAAACCAGAATAGCCAGCCAAACTGAATATTGAATGGTAAAATCCACTTTAATTAAAATTTAAAATGAAATTATTATTTTTAAATATTTTTTTTGAATTAAAACAAAAAAACTTAACAATCTGCTAAAATCACGACGCGTTTCGCCCAGATAGCTTTGTCACTTAAAAAAGCCATCTCTGCCAAATGTGTTGTGATTTTAACCATTTGTTAAGTATTTAATGCATTTATCGTTTAATATTTGTTTGGTAAAAACATTTTTATTTAAAAAAACAACAATGTAATTTAAAATTTTAATTAAAGTGAATTTTACCATTCAACATATTTAATTTTATCTGGTCCTACTTTTTATTTAATTTTATCCTTCATTATTTTATAATTTTTGAAAAATACCTGCTGACAGTGCTGCATTTGATCAACTTACATATTCCAGGTGGGGATTGTACCACCCACGCTGATTCCAACAAGCATGTATATGCTCCTTTAAATGTGAGTACAATTTATTTTACTTACATATTTTATCTTCCAATACAGAGAGCACTATTCTCCTTATTTCTATCTTTTACTATATACCCTTGGAAAATACAGAGGAACATCCTTTACAAATTATATCCGTGAGCAGGGATTATTCAACTTTAAGATCTTACTAAGAGCTGAATTGGAAGCTCTTTGTTTGTGAGTGCATTTTATTCTCTTTTTATATACACACTGGGTTTGTTCTATTGAGATCCCCTTTTTATGTATTCCATGTGAGATGCGTATGCTGTGAAGATAATGTAAGATGTACCAGTGTCGCTACAAAGACCTTGTTCTGATTCTTCACCTAATACCCTGTGACAAGGATTATATTGTCAGAAGCAGATACAATCAAACCTACAGACGGTTCCTTGTTTGACTTTCTTATGGTTTTTCGAGGGCATTCTTTGTAATTATAGATTCCAGTTACTACTACTTGCATACAACTGTATTCCTTAGCAATACCAGTACTGTGTAGTTATTTGGCGCAACCTGTTTTCTAACAGTGCAGAATGATACAAAATATTTCCGTTTTTCTGCAAAAACTGTACACATTTGCACATGCAAAAAATACACAACACTATTAATGCCAGATGATACGAGATGCATTTAAGTTGTTTTGATGCTCTGAATGTTCCTTGATGCTGAGGTTTAGAACTGTATGCTAAAGGGGGAAGAGAATGGTTGTGCCTTTATAGCTGTGGTCAAGCTATACATTTCCTGGGAATACTGACTCTAGACATGAGCAGTAATGGGTGACACTCGTGAATGGAAAATGTAGGATGAGTCTTCTGTGAAGCTATGCAATATTTCTCGTATGCAAATAGCACCATGTCACTACAGCAACCAAGACAGAGAGAGATGGGAGGAAGGGGTGATAAAATGTGGGATATGAGAAGGAAACAAGGGGGTGGGTGAGAATAGGTAATCTTTGTGTGTCTGTATTTTTGTGTTTGTGCATGTCTGTGTGTGCTTGTCTATTTCAGCATTTTGTATAAAACAGCAAGACCAAACTTGTATGTTTACCTTTGTATCTTGTTTATTTGTGAATGTATGACAAAACTGTTGCGTGAGTGGCTAAATATAGGCATGTGAATGATTGATATGTTATGTGTGAGAATACTGGGGGGTGCATTGGCTCAACTGGACCCAGTGCAGTGTCAAACATAAATAAATCACTGAGAAGATTCGGGGGGAACTAATAAAATGGGGCGCACAAACCCAAAAAAACAAACACAAACGGATCGCAGAGTTACTGGGGGAGATCCGAACAACAGAGGAAACACACAAACATAACCCTACAGATCCCATATTCCGAGCACTTATAGCATTAAGAAAGGAACTCCACTCACTCCTCCTAGACAATGCTAAAAAGGCCCTACTATGGACCAAACACTTATATTACTCTCAGGGAAACAGGAGTGGCAAATTACTTGCTCAAGCTCTGAAACAAAAGCAATCTCAGACTTACATTCCTAGGATAAAACGTGCCAATAACACGTTAGCATCCACCACAGAGGACATAGCAGAGTCCTTCAGAGAATACTACACCACCTTATACAACTTACAGAACAGGGCCCCCAAAATCGAGGAAATCACGTCATATCTAGCAGACAAATTTGACACTACTCTACCTGCGGCGGCCACCAGATCTCTAGAAGAGCCAGCCATTCTTCTTGGCTGAATTACAGATGGCCATTAAACAAGCCCCCCTTAACAAAAGCCCAGGCCCAGATGGATTTTCAGCCATATATTATAAGACATTCCAAAAGAAACTAATGGGTCACTTTCTAGAGGCAATAAATTCCATCCCATCAGGACATACAATACCCCAACAAACACTAGAGGTGTCCATAACCCTTTTGCCTAAACCAGGGAAAGACCTAGAGAGGTGCGCGAGCTATAGACCTATATCGCTCATAAATGTGGACGTCAAGATTCTCACCAAAATGATGGCATCTAGGCTGAGGCCCTTCCTGAGAGAGGCACTGAGGCTAGTGGTGTTGTGGAGAGAGGCACTGAGGCTAGTGGTGTTATGGAGAGAGGCACTGAGGCTAGTGGTGTTGTGGAGAGAGGCACTGAGGCTAGTGGTGTTGTGGAGAGAGGCACTGAGGCTAGTGGTGTTGTGGAGAGAGGCACTGAGGCTAGTGGTGCTGTGGAGACCGGCTTGGAGACTATGGTGAGGCCTAATAGAAAGCAGTTGTTGTTGGGGGATTCCATTATAAGAGGTGTGGAGATGGACAATGGTGGTCTTATGAGGTGTCTTCCCAGAGCTACTGCTCAGAGACAGGAGACGTATCTGTAATATTGTTAAGCAAGCAAAGCAGGAAGGGGAATTGGATGTACTTGTCCATCTAGGGACAAATGATTATGCTTGCAATGAGGTTTGAGGTTAAGGAAGTTTT